CAGAGAAGCCAAATATATCATTTGTCCTTATCTTTGCTATTAAGTTTCTGAAGCGTTTGACTTAATGTTGGCTTTGCAGTGTCAGCATTGTGCATTGCAGCCATGTTTTGGGCCACTTTCCCACCAGTGTCTCAGTCCCTGTGAGGGCAGCGCTGCTCTGATCCCCGTGCTCCTGCCTGCAGCGTTGTGCTGACCAGGGCTGAGCTCCACAACCTGGGGAACGCTCCCAGTGTTGCAAGGAAGAGAAGTTTTTATGATGGCCTTGTTGGGAAAACTGTGTCACTTGTGCAGGTATGTGACAGGTAACAGTAAGGCTGGAGCAAGGCTGCATTGCTCAATCAACTGCTGCTTTTTGGGAGAGGAGAACAAGAGCAGGAGAAACATCAGATGAAAGACCAGCCACTTGCGCGCCCCAGAGATTCAGCAGTTGTTGACCTGCCCCCGCTGTGTTTGCCTCCTGGCAGGCAGAAATGCCGCCCAGCCTGAATTTCCCGCAGGCACGGTGGGTACGGCCCCTGGAGAGGTGCCTCCACTCGCCGTGTCCTCGGGATTTGGGCTCTGCAAGGAGAGAGGCCAGTCCATGGCTGTAGGGTTCAAGCCAGTTCACTTTCCCCCAGCACCAGACAAGTGCAGGTGTGAACAGCTGTCTGGTAAGATTTAAAGCCAGGCTGTTTTGTAATAAACTGAGAGCAAATGACTACAAGTAAAACTGGTAAGAATTATATTTTTGCTTCAGTGTAACCCCTGGATACATTTCGAATTGCTGTGCTGCTCCTTCCTAGGATGTCCCGTGTGTCGGAGATGTGAGAACTGGAAAATGTCCCGGGGATACCTGTCTCCTGGGTTACACTTTGGGCTGTGGCTGTAGGTGTCCTGGAGGGTTGGGTGCCTGTGCTGTTATTTTTCTTAATGTCTTCTTCCCCCCGCCCCATCCTTTTAGTTTAAATCCACGTTCCTGCATTGCTGTTAACATTTTTGTTTCTCCTTTTATCTCTAGTGTCTCTTGAAGTTTAGGCTTTTGAATGCAAATGCACGTCCCAGGTGGCCGTGTTGGCCATAAGTGCTCTGCGTACATAAAAATGATTTCTGATTCCCTGTTCGTACCCAATCAGCCAGGGGTATGTGAATTACTTCAGAAGAGCTTTTTAGTACAAAGATAGTTCATTATGGTATGTTTAAGATTATTCTGCTTTTGTCCCTATTCCTCCTGCTGGCTGCCTGCTTCCTGCCCAGCCTGAACTCCCTTCACATAAAGCTTTTAACGTATTTACTGAAATATTATGTTAAATGCTGATATGTAAAAAAGTTCCTAATTTCTTGTGTTAACAGCATGTGCACACACTCCCTCCCCCTGTGATACGGTATTAATAGCCAGCTCTGGTGGCACTTAGACATCCCTGCCTTTGCCTCTGGGAAGGTAGTGCTGCTGCAGTCTGGACCTGCCTACGAGGATGAGTCTCCTGTGCTGCCAGGCTCCTGCATCTCGATGGGGTAGGATGCTGCATTTGGGTCCCTGGGCCCCGCAGCCAGACTGGTCTTTAAGCAGTTTAAGTGGATATATATGTCTCGCCACCTTGTCGCACCCAAAGCAGTTTTATCAAAGGAGACCTCCCAGGTCTCAGTCGTGGTCCTAATGCAGAAAATTTTCACCTTGGCCTCAAGGAGCTGCTTATGCAGCGCCCAGAGTGCGATGGTCTGTGCTCCAGAGCTGCTGACAGGCTGAAAGCATTCCCGTCCAGCCGCTCGCAGCCAACCCAACAGCCAAGGGGACACCTCTGGCTCCCAAGTGTGGTGAAGTCAGCTGCGGTGCTGAGGAGGAGCCACAGCGGTTACCCACTGGCAGGGCAGGAGGGATGAAGAAGTGGTTGGTGAGCAGACAGGGGAGGCTGCAGCTTTGGTCTGTGCTTAACCCTCAGCAACATCTGCTTGCAAACAGGAGTAGAAGGCGTCAGCAAGGAATCATAGAATTATTTAGGTTGGAAAAGAGCTTTAAGATCATCAAGTCCAACCAATGGCTTTGTCTGCACTCTGTGTGTGTGTGTGTTCACTATAAATGCTCTGGAGTTCTTAAACATCTACAGCCCATGTGCTTTCACCTGCCTCCTTCTCCAAAGCTCTGCCCCTGTGCCTCATGGCCCTGCAGTGGGCATCTGCCTTTCCCCCTGCCCTCCCTCTCCGTCCTGGGGAACGCAGTGCTCAGAGGGAGGCAGTGACACCTCCTCTTCCTCTGCTCCTCTCTCGATGGACCCGGTGAAG